AAAGTTTTTAAGAGACCATATTTTGCGAGTCTCTCTTTCTTCACATCATTCGTTTCATAGTATGAAGTACTATCAATTACAGTCTTGATTTTCGATGAAGAATTTTGAAATCACTTCTGAAGACTGACAGGTCGCTTAGCAATGCAATATAAAAAAAATCGCATTATATAATGAGAGAATGAAGAAAGCAAAATGCGGAATCATTAAAAATGCTAAATTCAAAAGGAAACTAGTAGAAAAACACAAATTACACAATAACTCAAGCGATGATTAATTGATCGTGTAGAAAAGTTTGAGCGATAAGCATATACACACACAAACCTGTAGGCGTACGTATGTATGTGTGAGTGCCACCGACTGCACTTCATTATAGTTTTGGCGTTAGACCAAAGTAATTTATAGCATGCAACAGTAAAAAGGATTTAAATAACTAAGGTGGCCCAAGTGCGGACCGAGAAGCCTCACTTATGATATTATGGCTACTGATCAAAATTGACCCGGACTGGTTAATTTAAACTAAGAGCGCAAATGAGCCGATAAAGACAAGTTTACTATATTGTTACAAGAAATTATCTTTTTTTACAGTGCGGGTCATATTTGATCATATGATTTTCTGAATCAACATATTATTGACAGCGTAATAATATGAACTGATATTAGCAACAAACCACACTATGTTAAAAAAAAAAAATTGTTCAGATAGTTTTAGTAAATTATCTTTTATATTGACGGATATATTCCGGAACAAACAATGGAACTGGAATGCTTATAATTGTGCATTTTTTGACCTGGTACATATTCCATTCATGACTTTTAAGGTGTCTATTTCTTTCAGTTACAAACTGCCGTTAGTTTACAAAAAAAAAAAAAACTTTCTGCTCTGTGCAACATGTTGCGAGTGTATAAAATAGCGTTAAAAATCATTGCCACAGCATGTTGCGCGCTGTGGCAGTGGCAAAGCGAATAGCGAAAAAGAATTCGAATCAATTATAAGCGCATGTAAAATAGTTTACTGAATATACACGACGCTTCAGCTGCTGCATGCCACGCTCTCATTGATATCCTTATGTATGCACATGCCGTTATGTGTCCAGTCATTTGGCCGGCACCATTGAATTTTCATAATGACTCAGCTGGTCCGCCATGCGCTCGACCGAATTTTATTTCCATTGTAGTGCATTCCAATTCATTTCAAAGTACTCGATTTTAATTAGATTTTCTGTATTACCGCTGCAATGCCACCTCATCTGCCGCTGCGTCTGCCGTCGTCGTCGATTTAACCAGGAGTTCGCATTCGAATTTTATATGCTTCGTGGGAGTTCCGGCGGTAGCGTGAAGCAGGTATTTTAAATTTATTTTTTTAAAGTTAGGAACAAAGGGCAGACCAACATATGCATGTGTGTGTGTGGATGTGCCAATGTCACGTGCTAGTTCCGACTTCTTTTTTTAATTCGATTTATACCCTTTGAAAGGTAGGCTTTCTCGTTTAACTTTAATTTTTGGGAATATAAAAAACTTTGTCGGGGAATTTCGATCGACACGCTATAACATGTCATAGAACCCTATCCTAAGGGTCTCAGAGGAAGAACAAACATCTAACTTTTCACAAAATTGGATTAAATCCAAACTCCTGTAATGTTTCTGTCCAATTTTAGGTGTTTTTAGACCTAGTAGAAAAAGTTTTTTTGTATTTTGTCAATAGATGTCCTTGCAGCCCTCCAACCATCTCCAGTGCTACCCACCACATTGTGTCATACCATATAGCGTGGGAAAGGTGAAAGGCTTCATTTAGCTAAAAAAAAAAAAATTCGGGGAAGTTGAATAAAAGATTACAGCTGTTCAAAAATGAGTGAAAATAATAAAAAAAAATATCGCTATATTTTGAAATTTTTGTATAAAAAGGGAAGAATGCCACGCAAGCCACCAATGAAATTTGCGAAGTTTATGGAGACGATGCTGTATCAGTACGTGTAGCACAACAATGGTTCGCTCGCTTTCGTTCTGGAATTTTCGATGTGAAAGATGCACAACGCTCTGGTCGACCTATCGTTAAAAAAGTCGATGAAATTATGGAAAAGATTGACCAGGACCGTCACATAATTAGCCTTGACATCGCTAAGGAACTTAGCATTCATCATCAAATGGTTTTGAACCATTCAAAAAAAAAGCTGGCTACTAAAAAAAAATGATGTTTGGGTACCACATGAATTGTCTGTGAAAAATTTAATGGACCGAATTTGCGATTCTTTGCTGAATCGAAATGAAATCGAACCATTTCTGAAGCGAATGGTAACAGGAGACGAAACGTGGATAAAATACGACAATAATGTGCGAAAAAGATCATGGTCCAAGCGTGGTGAAGCTCAACAATGACGCTTCGAAAGGTTATGTTGAGTGTTGGTGGGATTAGAAAGGAATCATTCACTATGAGCTGTTCCAGCCTGGTCGAACGATTGACTCTATATTTTACTGTCAACAACCGATAAGATTGAAACAAGTAWAAACGGCTAGAACTGATCAACGGAAAGGGTTTCGTCTTCCATCAGGACAACGCTAGACCACACACATCTTTCATGACTTGGCAAAAACTGGGAGAGCTTGTTTAGGCAGTTTTGATGCATTCACCATATAGCCCTTCCCTCATATCACCATTCTCATATCATTTGTTTCGTTGCAGAACTCTCTTAATGGAGTAAAGTTGGCTTCAAGAGAAGCCTGTGAAAATTACTTATCGCAGTTTTTCGCCGAGAAGCCAGAAAATTTTACACTTACGGAAAAATGTATCTAGCGGAAAAATGGCAAAAAGTGGTCGACCAAAATGGTACATATTTGGTTCATTAAAGTTTATTATAAATATAAAAAATAAATTGAAGTTTGATTAGAAATACGAAAATACTTTTTCGACTACCCAATATGATCTATGATCAAGATCTGTGGTTACTTTTGAGTGCGTTGGAGCCAAGTTTCGAAGCACTTTTTCCACTCTGACTGAGGTACCTTCCCAACATAGTCCATTAATGCAATATCAGCTTACGCACAGCATTAATAGTTCCCAGAACACCAATTGATTTTGGACGACTCTCACGAAATTCGTCTTTTAGTGTCCTAGAAATTCACCTTACCATCGATAAGCAATGGATGGAGCTTAAATGCCGAAAATTTAATTAACTCCATTGATGCACTTCTCCTGAGTTAGTCCACGTCGAAAATTATAGAAAATAATCGCCCGAAAATGTTAGCGTAATTGGCTGCCTAATCCTTAAACACGTTTTTCTCGAAACGCTATTTGTAGGGTCGGTGAAGAAAGGTTCTCCAAAACGATTGGACCGATATAAGATATTTTTTTATCGGAGGAATTAGATTACTAATAGCAATTTTGATTTTTGAATCCACTCTAACATCTCGCCATTGTTTTACCAAGACGCCATTTATCAAAAATGTTAATTTTCAGTAGTCCTTTCTGTACCTGTCTGCAGTAGTATAGTAATAATACTGATAGCCTTTGCAGACGACATAGCTAAACTAGTGACGTGGCAGCTCCCAGACATAATCATTAACGTAATAAACAACGATCTAAGGATAATACAACGATGGGCAATGTCGGCCGACCTAGAGATAAAAGGCCATAAGACAAATATTATACTCTTTACATGGTGTTACAGAATCTGGACATGGAAACCTCCGAGAAACTCGCATGGTTCAGTTAACAATGCGTGTAAGAAGATTCTAGGGTCTACATGGTGCTTCTTGCCTGGGCTTATACATTAGTCTTTAGCGTGATAAAAGCGGCTGAAAAAGCTAACACTGATGGAAACAACATAAAGAAGATCCAATATATGTGTCGATAGCGAAGTGGCAATTAAAACAATAAATTTCAGCGCATTATGTCAGAAAATGTCTTTAGAAGCAGGGAGACAATAGATGTAAAGGATGCCAAAAAGCGGCTCCATACACAGTGGATCCCAGGCCAGAAGAACATTCCAGGAAAAGAATGATGAAATTGCCAAAAATGTCATGCGTCTGGCTACCGAAATAGCACAGGAAATACGGAAATCACTAAAAACGATATACAATGAAGTTTCTAAATGGCTGACGGACGGATCAGGGCAAGTTGGAATGCCTGGAGGACGTGCAGGATCGCCAAGATCACGTGCAAGAGCTCCGAAGAAAAACACATATGATTTTTACTCAAACGTTCTCAAAAGGACTTTGTTGGCCTATTCACAGGTGACAACCTGATGGTAACAACGCAGTTGAAGTATCAAAATTAGAAAGCAAGTAGCTTTTAAAACTCGCTAAAAGCATTGGCGTCCTGTAGGACGAACATTTCAGCTCCAATTAAACTAGCAATTCTATGAACCAGTAGACTATGTATTAAGCCACATCTTGTCAGTACAACCTAACCAAATCTTTAGTAGTAATAAATTGAGATAAATTTTGGATTGCAGATAAGTTTAAGCAGACAAAGCGCCTCCGGTATCAATGAAACACAAAACCTTCCAAATTAAATCAGGTTTCAATATTTTAATAATCTCATCATTTACAATTAATTCCGAAAAAATTCTAAAATAAACCAAATATACTTATGCATATTTCATTTTTGGGGAATGTTTGCATTTTGTAAAGTGAATTTGTGGAAAAATTTGTGAACCGATTTTTATAAAATATTATTTAAAACAAAGTTCGATAATTTAAGCATACATGCGTGTTTAAAATTTTCCATTTGGTTCTCTAATTTAGGTACGGTGAGCCAAAATTAACCGGCGCGATACTAAACACAACCCTTCATTTTTATATAAAACGTTTAAATATTCATATTACTAGGCATTATAAACTGTTTAATCAAAAACAAACAAAATTGCTAACTGGGCAATTCTACAATGATTTTACGCTCTCTGTTAACGAAAAGTACTCGCCGACATGCTCTCTGTTTTCCCGCTCAACGAGTATGTAATCAAAATAGAAATGTCAAAAAAATGACAACACAACAATATCTCCAAAGAAAATGTCAGCATAAAGCAAGAACAAAAGCAATAGTTAGAATAAGTGAAATTTCTGACGACGACAGCAATAGAAATTAAAATCCACAGTAGCGATTAGAGTAAATTATAACTGGGCCACGGAGCACCAACTGGACAAATAAAACCAACCAACAACACAAAACAATAGTAAAGTGCTGTCGCCACGACATAACTAACTAAAAAAAGAACGCACTAAGTACACCAAAGACTCGCCAATCAATTTATGGTGCCACGAAGTAGGTGGTGCAATTGAAAACCGCAAAATAATTGATAGATTATAAAAGTGAAGTGTGCAAAGTGGAGCAGTGTTTGTGTAAAAGTAAAAAGTCAACATTACAAAAAGTATGTCGTCCGGCGCGGGTGATGAGCTTGTAAAAGAGCCACGCGTGGCAGAAATAGCCGCCTCCAGTGTAAGTTACCACATATTCGAACTTTGTATTTAATGCGTGATTAATATAATTTTTATCAAACAACGCAGATTCGTTCCGGCCTAGCTGAACTCGAATTAAAGTCAGCGCAAGTGCTACGCGGTTTGGAAAATGTCAAAACAGCGCCAGTTGCAGAAGCAGCTGAAGCACAGCTGGAAGTTGGCGCCGCAGATGCTGTGGACGGTCACAATGCTAACTTAGCAAACGTCGCCGACACACCACTCGACATGCCGACTACGGCAAAGCACACAACGCTTTTGCATGGCGATTGTATACCACCAGCTGACATATTGAATTCACTAGAAAATCTTATAGCCTATTCAGACTCTAATAATGATCCAGTATTTCCGCTACCCGGCCTTGATGATGTAGCACAATTGGCGCTCATCTCACACAGCATTGTCGCCTATCTGACACATTTGGATCGCCAGCATTTGGTACGTGTTTCGAGCAGCATTGCCGGCGATACCACACGCTGGTTGGGTGCGCTCTTCCGTTTTCTCGATCCGGCCAGTAGTTTTCACACAGACAACGCTGACGCTATACTACGCGCTGTGCGCTTAGCGATAGTTGCACGTTGTCCTGGCTACCTCGAGGGTGGCATACCAGCATTGGCGCATCCCTGTTTCTATATTTCCGAAAATATAACACCAATACGTCTGCAATATGCTTGCCGTCAGCTGGGTATACCATTGGATGCGATACGTCTAATACCGACCAATAGCACGTTCGGCACAATGGATTTGTCTTTGCTGCTCAAACAAGTGCAAGTTGATTTGAGTGCCAATCATACACCATTAATGGTGGTAGCCGATGTTGGTGCATCAATAAGTGGTTATGTGGATAATTTGCAACGCATGAGTGACATCTGCCGAACGCACAATATATGGTTACATGCCACCGGGCATGCTTTAGCGGCGTTGGCATGTGCACAAGGGCCAAATACGGTGAGTAGTTTTGATGAAGTTTCGGTTATTCGGTATGACAATTGAAATAGGTATGGCTAAACATCAAATTTGAGTAGAGAACAGAAGGAAGTGGAACATATTTTTTGCCTAAATAACACTAAAACTTACGAAAACTTCAAATTTACAAGATACAACACAAATTATGTAACAAATAACAAGTATACCACATAAATTTTGCACGAAAGTTGCTGTGCACGTTACTGTCTGTCCGTCCGTCCATTAAGGTTTTGTCTACTAAAAATGGAGCTGCAATTGCTAACAAAGCATATTTTTATCAACACTTTCAAAGTGTTTTTTTTTTCCCCCTTATTTACTTTATAATTACATATGTATGTACCAATTTACGAATCATATTCAAAACAATTTTCTGTCAAATTAAACCCACTTAACGCTTGAAAGTCCAAGTCTTCATTTCAAGACAAGTTAATATTTAATTTGGCACGTAACTATATATACATATATATTTATTGCATGATTTATATTTAATTGTTTTACGATAACAAAAATTTTTATTACAAATAAACTTATCTGCATATATATTTCCTTGTCTCGCTCACAGATCAGTGACACTGTTGACTCAATTGTTTTGAATTTGGGCAGTTGGTTGGGCGTACCAAGCCTACCGATAGTGGTAAGTTGTATGACAATTTTGCTTTAAGCAGACATACTAATGATAAAAATATCATGTATTTCCCCATTCTCAGCTGCTACATCGTCAATTGCAAAATTCTGCATTGACCGCCTTCGAATCGGATCCAATTTTATCGCGTCGCCTACATTCACTGTCACTATGGACTAGTCTGCAAGCGCTTGGACGTGATGCGATAGCGGAACGTATACATGTTGCATTCCAAACGTGTAGCATTCTCTTCGAGATCACGTCCAAGTGTGAGGGTATGCGTGTAGTGGTAAGTTGTGAGCCAAGAAAAGTGATGTTAATAGTCGCATTAAATTTTACGCAAATTCGTCGGTTAAAGAAAACGTGTTAATGTTTGTTTTACCAATCAAAGTTTATCGCTATTGTTTGAGTAGAAAGCATAATTATAAGGTAATTGTTTTTGGGTTAAACCAAAAGTGTTGATAAGCACTATCGCAAAACAATGGTTTCGTGTTGTTTTTTTTTTTTTTTTGTTTTTTTTTTTTGTTTTTGTACATGCTACGCTAAGTGACTATGTTCGGTTATAATTAAAATTCCATTAGGTTTAATAAAGCTGTTTGTTGTTTTGGAAAGAAAGAAGTTTAAATCAAAGTGGTAAGATAAAAATGTGTTTGCATATCACGTGACTTAAAAGTTTTCAAAATCTATGATTTTTACTTTGAAAATACAAAATTGACAAATTTCCCTTAATTGAAAAACATTCGTTACTGTATCTTAAATAATTAAATTACTTCCTCTAATATATATTTCCGCTTTCTAGAGTCGTGCCCCGGGCGGCCAATCAGGCACTACACTTAACGATGTCATCAATAAGCCGCTAGACGCTAATGTAAATATTACAAAAAAAAAAAAATTACTTTTCAAGTTCATACCAAATTTAATTATAATTAACAACACCACAAATAGTTGCTTTTCGAGACCGTTGCACCTGTAGTCGTATTTCAATTTGATGGTAGTACATCTATAGCGACAGTGGGGAAAACCGATAACGAACCTTTGAAAACATTAGAGAGCAGAGAGAAGGCGTTGGAGAAGGTTGACAATGCCACATACTTTGATCGCTTGAATTCTTGGTTGGGGCAATTAATGCAGCGTGATTGTCCAATGGTGAGCAAATATTTAACTTTTAATTTTATTTTATTAATAAGTACAAATTTATTTCTCAACCTAGTTCGATTTCGAAATAATTGAACATCCTACACACGGCACATGCATACGTTATTGTCCGTTGGAATTGGGATTAGGCCAGCAACCACCAACTTCAGAAAATTTGGAGGGTTTCGCACATTATCTCGAAGGCAACGTTGATATTTTACGTGCAACCATAAAGCATAAAGCGACATTTATCGAATGGGTTGGAAAGAGCGATGTGTTGCGTTTAGTTGATCTGCCAGAGTGGGCCGGTATGGGTGGGGTGCGTTTCGTACCCGAGGGTTGGGAGTCTATACTCACAGATCAAGCCAAAACTGAATTAAATAAGCTAAATGCCGATCTCGTTGAAGCATTGAAATCGACTGACAATGCCTTCTCGCTGGGCGAAAGTGCAGATGGTCTGATTTGTGTGCGCTTCGGTATGGTTACGCATGAAACGGAGGTGGAAGAGCTGTTGGATTTAGTCGTTTCGGTGGGTCAGAGTGTACAGGAAAATTCTAGAGTATTGGATACAATGTCGGAAATTGTAAAGAAGGTGGGTGTGCACTTTTATAAAATTTTGCATTTTTTTTTTAATTTTGAATTCTTTATTTTGTTATATATTACCATTTTTTAGTTCGCTATATATTATTTTTTCCCTTCTTTAATTGTTCTAAACTTGTTTGTTATTATTTTGTTTGTATTGCAAAGTATTTAGTAATAAAATTTCTCATCTTCTATTATAGGGCATAGAGGCTGCCACTGCCGATTTAATGCGCGAAACCGAGGAGAAAATGTGGCAAGAAGGCATATTGAGGCATGTACCAGTTGTAGGGCGTGTGTTTAATTGGTGGTCACCACCACCGAAAGATGCTGGCGGTATTAAAGGTCGAAGTCTAAATCTAACACAAGGCGTCGTCGAAAGCACAGAAAATATTTATAGGTAAATATTAATGTAATAATTTACTAAGTTTAAAGATACTAAACTCCAAACACGAATGCACAGATATCACATGCAAATGTCGGGTTCGCCACATCAAATGGGACGTTCGCCGCCCACACCAATGGTACAAACACCTGTTATTTCGACAGCCAATACGGTACCGCCCGTCTTTCCGGAGCCAACATCACAAGTACAAGCGCCACAACAACAACAAGCGCAATATTCAAATTCGAATAGTGTCAATGAGGACAGCGACAAGCATACACGCAACATAAGTCAAAGTAGTAATCATTCATCGGTGCCTGAGTTAGTGCCCGTTAATGCGAATGTTATTGTGAATGCAAATCCAATTAATAGTGGCAAATAAATACGTAGGGTATAAGATAATATCGAATTAAAAATAAAGCGATGTAATGCGCTAGCAGCCAAAGTTGCTAACAATTAAAACAACAAAAAACACTGAAAATATTTGAAATTTGATTTGTGTCTGACACATTCAAATTAAAACGTGTTTATAAACATATATTTAATATGCTTGTCGTAGTTATTCAAAAAAAGGAAGCGTGGAACACAATATTAAGCATTTTTGTATTTTTGGCAAATGTGCAGAATAAAAAAGTATATATATAAATGGAAATGAAGAGCAACGGTGCTGTTGCTGGAAAAAAATCCCAAAATAACAGTGCAATTCTTCAAGTTCTCCAATGAACTTAAATAAATAATAATTTCAGTGCCCGAAAGGTCCAATAAAATTGGTGCGTTAGAAATCGTTAAGAAAATATAGATCGCGAAACTTTTATAATGTATTATCTACCAATATTAACATGTACACGCAAATCTATTGTATATTTTATTATTTAACAAAAATGTTCTACTTTCTTTTATGTCATTTATTATTTTGCATGTAACATATTTTAATTTAATTTTGTAATTGAAATATTAGTAAAAAATAGTATATAGAAAAAGAGTTTAAAGCAACTCTTTAAGTATGCAAAAAAATAAGTGATGCTTATTTTATAGTTTAACCTTGCTTACAAATGCGAAAATAGCAAATAATTGTCGTTCAGTATGCTTTACGTTAAACATACATAAAATCATTCCTCTCAATTGCATTAAGGACTAAACAAATTCGAAAATATAAATCGGTTTCTTAAAAAAACAGTAAACTAATTTTATATAACTATCTGCAAATCTTATCCAAAGGTCTTTGTAAGGCGAGTACAACTTGTATCATTCATCTATTCCTTTTATTAAACCTAATATTATAATATGTATTTCATTATTGTTTCTCAAATTATTGTTATTCTTTAATATAATACAATATACTTAATATTCTTATTGCAATTAAGAATTTTTTATTCTCCATATTCTTCCACATGCTGAGAAGATAACACCAACACCAATTGTACCGTATTATAGTAAATCATTATTATTATATAATTACAAAATATTTAATTAACCTACTCTTTAAATTTAAATAGTAAATGAATCAGTGCGGATAAAGAAATACAAACAAACAATAAAGCGAAACAATTCAGCTGAGTGTGCACAAGTTACTTTATTTTATTGGAGAGAAGTTTAAATTGCAGGTAATTATGTCTATGGAATAGGTAAAAGGAAAGAAGAAATGTGCATTAATAACTACACATATAGAAGAAGTGGAACCAGGAATGAAATATTATAACTCAAAGTGTTGGTTCCCAGCTAAATTTGCCTACATAACCTAAGATGCAACTCAATCATCAGTCTTAATATTTCAGCATTTGAACGATTACAAAATTAAATAAGGCAAATATAATATATTTTGTAAGAGGTACATTTGTGCAGTATAATCTTTAAGGTTTTTGTACTAATTAAAAGAATTCAACAATTTTCTAATAGGCAAACTTACTCAAGCTCGGTTGCACTACCAACGTCAAAGGAATTTCGTTAAATTAAATACTTCACTAACTTTCACTATATTTTATGGATTCACTATCACATAAACACTATTATAACACTTAAGTTATATAATAAAAACACTTGTACTAATCACTTTCCGAAATTTATTAAAACCCGCACTCACTAAACATAACTGCACTTATTGAAATTGAAAATGGCGGTTTACCGAATAAGCGAAGGAAACTGTACAATGGAAAAGAAGTCAAATTGTTGCCGGATTGTCATATTAATAACAATTTTATAAATTGATTTTAAATCAGCACAATTAATGTTAGACTTTTATTAATACATATAATAAGCATAAAGATAAAAAAATAAGCACATATTGTTAATTACTGACAACTAATAAAATTCCGTTTTAGAAGAGTTTGAGATGTAATATGTAAAAAATAAATACTGCGCAGTTGGCAGCATTGGTTTTGCCTTATACTCCTTTCCGTTTCTTCTCGCTTGTTCTAGCAATTTCCGCGGAGCGAATGCACATCGGAAATAAATGGCGGTTAAGTGAATGAAGATTATTATTCACATATTTTAGACTGAAAGCGATTACTTAATTTTTTTATTTATACATTATTTTATTTATGTATAATATATTATATCGCACATTCTATATCGAAAATTGAAATTGCTCGCTAAACTTATTCATGTGCAGAACACAGACTTCAAGCGACATCTGTCAAATATTAAAATACACACGTTCTTATGGACACAGTTTTGTAGTCGGCAGCTATCTAAATAACTGTGCTCTTAGGAACGTGTGTACTTTAATATTTGAGAGATGTCGGTTGAAGTCTGTCGCTAACTATGTGTTCAGGACATCAAACTCAAAATACTTTGGCGGATAAGCGTGAATGCGGAAATCGGAGATTACTTTTATTTGCGTTCACTTTTTACTTTCCTGTGTTATAAAGATACCAAATTGATTGAATCTTTTTATTAATTTAAAATATTGTTAAACATATATAAAAACAATTATAAACGTAAACAAATTTTAAATGCAAATTATAAGGGAAGGTGAAAGGTATTAAGGTTATATAACTTACTAAAATCGTTCCGCTTAGTATAAAAAATTGTTTGATAATTTTTAATTGAACGCTAAGTGGTAAGAAAAAATGTTAGAATTGTGTCTAAGCGAGCTTCTTAAGCTTAAGGTATGCTAATCCTAGATTCTGGTAAACAAACGTAATGAAATTTAAAAAAAATTAAATAATATAAAAAATTTAGTCATGGCATCCACATATTTTCTCATATTGTTTTATTCTCGTTTCCTTTCTGCACCCGCCATTTTAAATTCCACACGACAAGAGTAATCTGCACGAAATTTGATTTTTCTTAGCTAATGTAGTACTTTTACTTGTTATTAACGGTCTACGGTTTTAATAAAAAACTAATTTAGTGAGTGTAAGTTTTGTGTAAACAGCTGAAGTTTTTGTAAATAAAATGAAACAGCTAATTGGAAGTACATAGCAGCAGGAACCACTGTGTGGTACATTTAGCTTGCAGCTGCATATGCCTGCTTGCTAACTCGAAATAATAAAATAAATAATTGGCATAATTTAGATATATAAGATAGATAAAACGAAATAAAAAGTTAAAGTGTTAAAAGTTAAAAGTATGTGTTCTCGTTATTGAAGTTTTTGCAATCGAAAGTACTCGGACTTCAAATGATTCGTAGACGGCCGACGCAAAAACGTTTATACACGTACAAGAATAAGCAAATTGCTAAAGCTAAAGGATTTTATATCGCATTACGCTCATAAGAAAAAAATCTTTGTAAGTATTTTTTTTTTCTTCTTTATTTATCATATTTTTCACAGTTTTATTGTTTTTCATTATTATAATTAATGCGCATGTTCGGTCAACACTTTCTGTACTGTTTTTATTCTGCTTATTTTCGTGGTTATAATCATCTAAAATTATAATTAAAGAAATCATAATTTGTATATGCTTTAATTTTATTTATAAATTTACTGCTACATTTTTTTTGCCGAATTTTTTTTTTGAATATTTCAATACAGTTTGTGCTTATTAATCGTTTTTCCATACTTATTTTTTACATTAAATACGGAAACTGCTTACGTACATACATTTTACATGTCTATATTTTTGAAACGCCAAATTTTATTACAACTTAGTTTATTGCCTTTATATGTAAGTATGTATCTATGTATGTAAATGTATGCATGAACACATGCATATTAAAAGTAATGTACTGATAATAGTTATACAAAATTTTTATATACTAAGTTGTTAAAAAAAAAACACGAGTACGCTTGAACTTGAGCATTACAAAAGCCTTTGTCTAAACTCAATAAGTCTTTTTGAAATAAATATTTACATTATGCATTTAAATAGCGTAGCGGCAGCTGTTTGGTTCTACTTTGATATCTAAAATTTTGTATTACATATATTTAGTTTTTTAAGGAACACACGAAAACAGGATATTTTTTTACACACACAAATAATGTTACAAAAATACTACTGTATACATATATAAGTATGTATTTATAACTACTATAACACACATAATATTCGAAGTGAGAAAATATACAATTGCAATTTAAAACCAGAGAAGCCTTAATTGTGTTAGGAAATAATTTTTGTAAAATTATTTTTAGTAAAAATAACAAAAAAAATAGTTAATTTTATAAAA